CTGATACAAGCCGCTGATACGAGCCGCTGATACGGAGGATGCTGATACGCAGGATGCTGATACGCAGGATGCTGATACGGAGGCTCGTCGCTGATACGGAGGCTCGTCGCTGATACGGACGCCTTCTTATTTGCTAACTACTTGTCCCCCCTAATAGAACAAGTGGCTGTATGATACTACTACTATGTTAACTGTGCTGTGTTGTTAGTATCGTCCTCAACAAAAGGACCATCTTATTAGCTGACAGGAGTGTTGGTATCAGTGTTGTCGGTGTTTTCGTTATCGTGGTGATTGTCGAGAATTACTCTCCTGACTTGCATTTTTTCCATAGAATTTGCCTTGTGCGTGACAGTGCGAGTACTTCTCATCAATCACCCTGATACAGTACGCACCACGCACTGGGTTGGTGCACCTACGTATATTATGTACTACGTCCTACACGGTTGCATTTTTGGTTGATATATTGTTAGGTACTTGTCCGGTACGCAAGGGAGAAAATGCAAATTTGCATATTGGATCATTCCCGTTAGTCTAGATGGTCTACTTTTTGGAAGACAGACAGACAAAAAATAGACCATCTAGTCTCAATCTTTAGCCTTTCTGTCAACGCTCCACTCCCGGCCTTACAGAAAGTCTAAATCTAGACCAGAATCCAAGAATCAAATTCCATTGTAGGACTCAACTGAAAAGACCCGCCAAATTTAAGACTGAAAGAATTTACTAAAAAATTAGAAGGCGCCGGCGCCAGTATTTTGTCATGAAGTGAACAACAGCAATAACCATGTCCCCTGTCTTATTCGCTACACTATACGTTAGATTGAAACAAAGAGAGGTGCAACTGCTGGAGGCCGTGTATCAAGCAATGCATGGGGAGGAGATCCCTCACACAATATTCATAGCAAAGATGTCAACTCGTACTGGTCCTTATGCAACCACCATTCCTCCATGTAATGGGGGTCGCTTTCCTCCAGCGGCCGCACCAGTCCCTCCCCCAGGAGGTCAATCAAAAGTAGAGGGGTCAGGTTGCAAGGCTGGTACTGCCAACTACTCGGAAAATGAGCTCATCTCATTGATGACTCTCATCAAGGAGATCCTCCCCATTGGAAAGACTGACTGGCTCATGGTGGTTCATAGACATGCACAGAGCTATCCCTATGGTAGAACAAAGGATTCACCCTTGCTCCTCCAGCACAGTCGGCGTCCAATTTCTCCATCTTCTCATAGATTCCATACTCACTGATGGTACTGTCATGCCACGTGCCAGGGCAATTGAAAGTTCCTATGCGGATCCTACCATCTGCTGGTGCAAAGACAAACACTCCATTCACGTAAGTATCTGCCTTCCATCCATTGAAGAAGACCTCTTGTTTGAGCCAGTCTTCTGAAGACTGGATCTCCACCTTGAGCCCATCTGCTGCTGCCCAGACRCGTTGTTSTYCAAGTCTTGGATATTTTGCTCCAATTGCTCTAACATACTCATTGATTTCTTGCTCACTTGGCAGACTGACCATGGYGAGTGGATGTTTGTGAAGCACTGAAAGGAGGATCCTCATGGAAAACTTGATCCATTTGTACATGACTGTTGAAGTAAGACCAAACGCCATTGCCATTCCTCTTGTAACAGATCCTCTAGTCCTGTACCAGAAGAGCACTACTAGCCCAAGACAAAAAGTAGAAGAGCGCCAAAAATTCTGTCCGTTKGGGGCCTGTTTTTAATGATTCCCGTTAAACTAAAAAGTCTAAACGGTCTACTTTAGACTTTTAGACCATCTAGACTATCGGGAATGACCTGTTGGTCCTGTATACAGTTTTGGCAGTTGGATTCCACAAATGACTGCCTAGAACATGTAGAATCAGTACTGGAGACTAAAAATGTGCAAGCACATGAATAAAAATCGTTCTATTTTTTATTCTTGTCTATTAGCACTGGGAACTCTAAAGTTTGCATTGACAATGGCAGTAATGGGTACCTCTTTTGAACAGGAATGACCTACTATTACAAGAAAGTTCTCCATACTGAGGAGAATTTCAGCCTCAAGAATGTGTCACTCTTAGCTACCATTTGCAACAAGTAGCGCCGTTCTATCAAAATGAGCATTAGAACTCAACTGATGGTATTATCATATTGATATGAAAAAATAACCCTGTTTGAAKGCTTATTACTTTATTATTTCTGGTACAATATTGTAAGGAATATCATATTCAAATAGTATTAATCAATCATACCAATACAAATACAAAAGGATAATTTAAATTACCCTAATATTGAGCTTATTTTGAGGATAGTAAAGTTGCTACGATGACACATATATCATCATAGTGGACCTGAGGAAGTAACAATGACATGCCCAAAAGTAATGCATCCATTGCAAAGAATACCAATGATACTGTTCTTGCAGCTGTTCTTCCTGTCCCACCAGCACAAATAATGCTGCACCAGATGATGCTGCAGCAGCAACTAAGAAGAATGCAGGAGCAGCTTCTTCTTTGTATTATTGTTGTACTAGTACTAGTAAAGCACCATCATCATTACCACCACCCCTACTAGTAATAGTAGTAGTAGTAGTAGTAGCAGCACAGGAGGAGGAGTGCCAGCAGTAGTATTTTTAGTAGTAGAACAACAACTGAGATACTACTAGTACTAGTAGTTGGGGTTGGGTTTATTGAAGGACAGGCAACTTGCAGTGGTACAATTTCTCCAGAGGTCTACACAAAGAACAACAATGTGTTACTACATACTAGTACTAACTCCAATATCAAAAAGAAACTATTC